GCTATTTTCAACATACAATCATGGAAAATATTGATTCTGCTCCACTCTAATACCATATCTATGATGGTATCCAGAGTGACTGCTATTAATACAGGGCATCATTTTGCTCATTTTGAAACAAGCATCTCTTACACATCAGAATAGTGTTTAAAGCAAATTCTCCCTTCCCAAGTTTTCCCAGCCCACAGTACTTCTGTCAGACAACAACTCATGTCTGCATGGTGCTGAGTAGGCACTGAGATGCAGGGCACCCACTGCAGAGAATGACATCTTTTGCCTCATGTATCTCAACAGCAGCAAGAAGGACCCCACATTCCCAGTCCTGCTGGCCAGCATCAATACTGAGCTGCCTGATGGGTTATTTTGACACGTGAAATGATTTCATTTAACAAATAAAAATTAAAAAAAAAAGGACTGAAAAGTCGTAGCCACTTTCCTGAAGTACCTGTGTTAGACTCCAGTCCAGGGAAGTGATTTACTGCACAATAAAGAGGGACTGAGAACACATCAGGATGCAAAGATCTGCATCCTGGAGTCAAGTGTCAGCAAAGGTGCGAAAGTGCCAAATAGAGGCAACCCTAGAGCAGGCAGCTATGCAACCCTAGAGGCAGCCATGAGTAGGCAGAAAATGTGGAGTGCTGCTTACTAACTCATCTAAATTATCTCATTTTCAGGGTAACAACATACCTTTGTTAAATAACACATTTCTGTTTTCCTTATCTTTCAAATCTCTTTAATTGTTGCTCTTCTGCACTGTTTCCTTCCTTAGCATTTGCTCAGCAGGCAGCCCAGGGCAGGGGATGGGCTCTGAGCACCTGATGAGCTGTGGGTGTCCTTGCTCACTGCAGGGGGTGGCACCAGGTGGCCTTTACAGGTCCCTTCCAACTCGAACCATTCTATGGCGATTCTGTGATGATGCAGGTGCAGCTGTGCATGTGTTGCTGCCCCGCCTGGGCAGGAAACTCTTTGAAAAGGTAGGTAATGGCAGGACAAGGGGAAATGATTTTAAGTTGAAGGAGGGAAGATTTATGCTGGATGTCAGGGGGAAGTTCTTTGCTATGAGAGTGGTGAGGTGCTGGAACAGCTGCCCAGAGAGGCTGTGATGCCCCGTCCATCCCTGGAGGTGTTCAAGGCCAGGTTGGATAGGGCCCTGGGCAGCCTGGGCTGCTGTGAAATGTGGAGGTTGGTGGCCCTGCCTGCAGCAAAGGGTTGGATCTTGATGATCCTTGAGGTCCCTTCCAAGCCATTCTATGACTCTATGATATGATTCTATGATAGCAAGCAGAGCAAGTGGAGACTGGGAATGCAAAGAAGCATTTGGATGCCCCCTGTGCAGGTGCCTATGTTAATGCAATGAAGAGTTAAATATTAATAGCAGGATTTCACCTTGGAGGTGACCAGAAGCCCAGGGCTATGGGGAAGGGGATGCACAGTGAGCTGTGTGCTGCTGCTTCACTGCTCAGCAGCTGCTCCCTGCAGTCTCTCATACCTCATAGTGACTCACAGGCACTCACAACCTGCAGTGCTGTGCTGCTGCCCTGAGGCTGGGTCCCCATGTGGGGCGGCTGCATCCCAGCATAGGAACTCTGCTCCATCCCACCTTGTGGGCACACAGGTGAGGAAACGCCTCCTGGCTTCTGCAGGCCTTCCTGGGACTTCACAGGCCTCTCACTGTGCAATTACAGGAGGGTTTTAGTCTGATTATACATGAAAAACTCCTCTCTGTAAAGAAATTCAAAGATCAGAGGCATTTTCTCTCAAGTATTGCTCTGCAATTGGAACACTCCTGCTGCTTGGTACAAAACGTTCCTACAAGGCTCTACCAAACCCTTACTTGATATTTCCATTGTTAGGTTTTATTTCCACCCTTTCTCTATTTAAACATTAAATTTGAGCAGTTCAGTTCTACCCATTTTTTCACTGAAATCCAGCACAGAAGTTTTAATTGCAGCCGGAGCAGAGTGCGCAGTCACAAAGCCACAGCGATGGAGAGCCTTAGCAGGACTACAGACTTCAAAACCGAACACAAATAAATGACATTTTTGTCCTTCAGACCTGGGGAAACGCGAATGCAAATTCTATAGTCTTATTTTTTTCCTGATCCCCGCTATTCTCTAATCTTATCAAATGTATATTCCTGTATTCCAAGTCAGTCTGATGGAGCAGCTTGCTGTAAACAAGCAGCATTAGATTCTGCCGAGCGCATTTCCCTCACAAATCCAATTTCCCAATCTCTCGCTGGTGCCGCTTTAGCCGTTCCTCAGTACATAAAGTGCTCTCTGCACACTGCATTGGCCGTGCTTTACAGCAACGTGCAGCACAAGGCCGTCGCGCTGCGTGCTGCCTCTCTTTGGCAGCCATTCTCAACGCGCCCTGCTTTTGCCGTGTCCCTGTTTTCCCCATCCAAGAGAGGTGATGCTCTCATGACCTGCAAGAGAGGAGACTGCTCAGCACCGGCCCAGCACCCAGCACCTGCCCAGCCACAGCATGCCCAGTCCCACTGCTTGGCTGTGAATGGAGGTGCCTCGAGGTTCATAAATCTGTATGCAGCGCTATGGGTTCTCTAACAGCAATTCGTTTTAATTACGTGAGACATAAAAAGACCACCTACAGATGAGACAATACAGCCGTAAGATTCTCAAGGTTACTTTGGGGAATACTTCATAACTGAAGTATGTTTTCCCCGAGGAATTACGCTACCATTTGATTTAATTTTTAATTTTTACATTTTAATCAAAAATAGATCAAATGGCGGCGTTCCCTCCTGGGAAACATACATCAGATGCGAAGCAGTCCATGTTCCTTTTAAATATGTAAAGCTGCCATTTATGTATAACTCATGAATGACACCCTGTGTTGCAAGCAAATATCATGTGGTGATTTCTATATTGTTTCAGTAACAAGGCTGTAATCACACACAAATATCGCCGTGCCCCATCCTACCAAGCAGATGGCATTCAAAGGGGGGACTTCAGAAGCTCGCACGCTTCACTCCAAGAGCCAACAAAGAGCCACTGCACGGTGAGCGCGTGGGCACTGGCACAGCTGTGGCACTGCATGGAGCTGCCTGCTTGCAATCCTAAGGGCTGCTCCTTGGAAAGTCCCACTCGGATGCACAGCGTGTTGTAGCACAGGGAGGGGCGTGGATGTGGTTTAGTGGGGGAAAAACTGATGGTAGGTAGATGGATGTCTTGGAGGCCTCGTGCAGCCTTGGTGTTTGTAGGAACGGAGAGCAGTGCTTTCTGACCTGATTGCAGTGTGTCACAGTGATGGAATGGTAAATCTGTCTTCTGAAGCTGGAAGCAGGACCTGTAATTTGACAGCAGGTGAGGTTCGGATAAATTAACATCTGTTGGATCTGCATGGGATTCTTCCCATTGTTTTTCTGTTGAAAAAGAAAGCAAGAGGTCCCATGTTTTTTCTTGCTTGTTCCAATGTGGTTGCCTTGAATCACAGAATCATAGAATGGCCTGGGTTGAAAAGGACCACAACAATCATCTCATTTCAACCCCCTGCTATGTGCAGGGCTGCCAACCAGCAGACCAGGCTGCCCAGAGCCACATCCAGCCTGGATGGGAGTTTGATGTGTGAGAGAATCTGGAGGTGTAACTCTTAATTTTATAATTACTGCCAGCAATCAAAGCCAAACAGCATTCTTACTGTGTGACTTCTGCCTGCCAGCACAGGCTGTCACACTGAGCTCTCAGGAACCACCGTGTGATGATCTCAGGGGAGATGCCACAGTTTGAATACGTATACAGCTTCCCCAATTAACTTTGACACGAACACCATTCATTCTAAATATCATTTTCAATGTATGTGTTGCATACATTTGTGTCTGTCCTGGTCCTGTGCAGACTGCCTGCAAGCTCCACACATACTAAACCAAAAGCTTTGGTTTCTTCCTCTTTGATGATGAAATCAATGTGTAGTTACCAGCAAACAAACAATTATGTGAACGTTGAAGTCTAAAGCAACTGAACTCAGTGCATAAATTTTACATAGCAAGGATAACAAGTTTATTGTTTTCATCAATAATACATTCACCCTATCAACTTCACATTTGCTCTTGCACTTTCTTACGAGGCTTAATTCTCTCATCTTAAATGTTCCATCTGCTTATCTTTATACAAAATGTATCTACAGCCAAATCGTGTTCTTCTCCAGGCTGCTGAAGCCGTTTTCCTCTCAGTGCATGTAGGCATTGGTGACAAAATTAGACAAAAAAGCAAAGGAGTTCTGCACTGTCCTCCCCTTTCTTACAGTGTCAGAGCTCCTGGGCACAGCTGTTACCTTCCCAGGAGTGTTGGGCTGTGCTGTGTGGCCAAGGTTACACTTTGGGCAGTCTCCAGACTGAAGCCAGGGAGGATCAGGTTGGTATCACAGCAATGTCTGCTCCAGAGAGCGGCCAGGCGCTGGCACAGCTGCCCAGGGGTGGGCAGTGCCCATCCATGGAGGCGTTCAGAGCTGCAGGGATGTGGCACTGAGGGACGTGGGCTGTGGGCACGGCTGGGGGCTCTCAGAGCTGCAGCGGTGCCCGGCGTGCAGCAGTGGCTGAGGGATTTGCTTTGGAACCACGCAGCTATGGAGCAGGGTGATAATCTACATAAAGCAGTGAGATCCAAGGAGGGCAGAGCTTAGATTCACAAGGCAGCGTGACACCTCCATTTCTACCTAGAGCTGCAGGAACGCAAGTCTGATGCTAAGGTGCTCCAATTAGGTGAGGAAAAGCAAACTCTGGAAAGGCAGGTGGAGACGAGTTGAGAAATGGGCACTTTTAACTCTCCATTACGCCGAAGCTGCAGAGAGGAATTATGTTGTTTCAAAGTTTCTGTGTATCATTCATGTTTGTGGGCAGTGAGGGGAAGAACCGGGTGGGCTACATTGTACAAATGAAGCTACATAGTATATAAACCCCAAAGCCTTTTATTTACCTTCGTGCCTCAGTGCCTGCAGAACACAGTTCAATTATCAACGGCAGAACAAAACCAGACAGTTCGTACTGTATCCAAAGGTGGGTTTAATGCTTCTGCTTTTGCAACAACTTATAAAATACAAAGTTAAAAATACTATATCATTTTCATCTGAATTAAAAACTGATTGTATGCTTTACTATATACACCTAAATAAAGTATATTTTAGGTTATTTTGTGTACAAACCACAGCATTAAGAAAGATAAAGAATCGTATTTATCAGTCAACCAACATGGCATAGTTGTACAAGGTGAAGAAAAGTCCTACAAAAATAGTGCTGAGGTTCTGCTGCAGGTCTGACACCCATCTGCTATAAAGGAACATCCACCATCCCCAGCTGCACGGCCCTCAGCTGCACCTGATGCAGCACGCTGTGATTCTGGCTGAGCAAATCTTGAGGCAGATTACAGACACAGCACATCTACTGGATCAAACAGCAAGTCTCCACTGTGCTGGACTATTTCAGCTGCAACTCATTTGTGTCACGGCTGATGTATAAATGCATCTAGCCCGTTAAGAGGCATGGGGCAAGCAGTCACATCCTTCCTAAGGATTCACTGTGAAGTTTGTGCAGAAGGAGCTTTCTTGTTTGTTTATGTTTTAACCCCAGGCCAACTTAAGGACTACCAAAAAGGAGGGAGCTGCTATCAAAACTAGACAGAGTCTCTGCTAATCAAGCAGGAGCAAACACACATCTGAACTGCAGTCACACTGGAAATGCTTCTCAAACAGTGATGATGCCAACGTTTACTTAAGAAGAAAACTCAGGTATGACGCTCTCCTGATGCCCAATATGCTTTGGTATTAACAAATACGAAGGCAAAAGTACTGCTGGAAACCATCAGTGTGTCAGTAATTGTGATCTGTGATGTTCGAGACTGAGCTGTGAGATCAAAAAGGGTTTCCCAGAACAAAACAGGTTATCAAAAACCTGTTGTAAGAAGTGTTCCCATTCAATGCCAGTCCTTGTCTCAGCCTTTCCCCACCTGCTGTTGGGCACACAGATGCCGGCTGCTCCCAGCCCATCCAGCCCTCTTATGGCCACAGAACTGCTCTGACATACCCTGCATCGCGTTCCTGGGGAATGCAAAAGGCTGTAGTTGAACAAAGACCCAACCTGGGACAATTCTACTCCTGTTTCTATAGCATTTAGATCTTTGAAGTATACACACGAGTAACAGAACTACTGACCAGTTAGATCTGAGATAAAACGCAGCATTACATTTTGAACAGCACAAAGAAGGTACCCATGTCCACAGTGCAGGTTAAAAATAGCACAACGTTCTCCTGTTTTCTTGAGCTGTAGAGATGCAGTAATCTGCAAGGACAGAGCTGAGAGTCACCGTGGACAGTGCCATAAAATACCTGCACAGGGCACAGTAACGATGAGAAGACTGATACGAGAAAATTGCATTAAAATCGAACAGAGTATGACTTCATGGGGGCTCTGTAATGCAGCCAGGAGGAACTATGAGCAATCCTGTGAGTTATGCATGGTGGCACCTTACAAAAACCAAGCAGTGGTTACTCTGAAAGGAGAAGGATTGGAAAGAGCCACAAGGATTGTGAAGAGTTCTCATTCTGACTGTATTCTGCTGACTAAAATACGCTCAGGTTTTTAGCTAACAGAAGAAATCTATGCACTGTTATCTATTTAAATGGAAAATCATCCTCTGAGTCTGACGGTTCACAGTGTATTGCCTGTGCATTAAAAGCAATATGGTGCTTCTTTGGTGCAATATATTCTAGCAGAAAACTTTGTGAACAAGTCCAAGTGTCATTTCTCTTCTTAAGACACCTTAAATTTCGACTGCATACTGCTCTGCTAACAGCTGCTTTCCAGCATTGACACCCAACAGGTTCTGAGTCATTTTGCAGTGACTAAACTTTTAGATACCTTTCAGCTTTCTACACTCAAAGTAACTATCTCAGTTTTTACAGCACAGAAACTGAAGCTCAGCCATCTTTTCTCTTGGCTGACATGGCTGAAAACAATTGGAAAATCTTGTAAAAATGAACTGCCCACAAAATACAGCCTAGCTACCCAGTAACAAATACGCAGTTGCAGAGAAAACGATGTGTTTAGAAACCACTTTACTTTACTCTTTTGCACTCTATTATCAGGATATTGGGAATTCACTCATGCACTACTATCATTTCAATTGAGCACATGTTCCTTTCCAGCTTGGATAGATACTATTGCTTGTACCAACCTGTACTGGGAGCTGGAGAGCTCAAGATGAGTTTATAACCTTCAAGGTAACACAACCATTGTGATTCTCAGTGATGTGATCTCTGAGCAGCCTATATCATTGAAGGAAGCTGGGGGTGTTTGAAACAACTGGCAGAACTACATGGGAACTGCTGAATCACGGCCTGAACCTCTGATTGATCACCTGAGGCGAGCCATGAGCCAGCCAGAGGAGCACAGGTGAAGGCAATTCAGCTGTGCTGCCAGGCTGCACCCCTCCTAGACCTATTGAAGAGCTGGTTACCAGTGGGGAAGGATCTCTGCTGGAGATCCCCTCTTCTGGTGCTTTCTATAGGTGAGCCTAGCGTATGGGTAAGCCTTCCATTTATTCTCTCCTATTATCCTAGCCTACTTTGCCTAGTTCTCTTGTTCTTTTTGTGATTATAACATCTTAGTATCCATTGATTATACATCTTAATATCCATTGATTATACAACTACAGAATCACAGGGGTCAGGGGAACCTCTGGAGATCTTCCAGCCCAATCCCACTTTGCAATGATCCATTTCCAAGGGATGTAAAATTTGTGTGGGATTGGAGGATATCTATTCTTTCCTAACTAACCTTTCTGGGTGTCAGTTTAGTGCAGCTCTACTTAATAAACTTATCTCCCCACCTGTCGCTTAACCAAATTCAGTAATTATATGATATTCATCTACTTGGGATGAGTATCTTGTTAATAAAAGCCAACTCAGTGCTCACACTACAGCTACAGCTCCACACACAGTATGGGCAGTGTTCTAGGACTGCGATAAGACTTCTCTAAGAATTTCACATTGCAATAAACACCACTGGAATAGTGATCTCTAAAGACCTGTTAGTAGACTTTTGCTACTTCAGATTCTATACTGAGTACTGCCCTCAGAACAGGAGAGGCTGGAAGCTGTTCTGCCTGCCTTGCTGCTGGTGGGCTGAACCCTGCCCAAAGGCTGCATGGGAACAGGGGACACTTCTGACAGTGGAGATTGCTTTCTTCCTGAGCCTTGGCAGGTTGCAGAAATTTCCATCTAATGCAGAGGGTAAGCATGCTGCTATTCTGTTTTGAACAGCAGCCAGTTCCATTCCAGAGCAGCCACTGAAGTGTCACATCCAAATAACACAACTTGGATACCTTCAGAGTTTAAAACCTGCAGGTGTTTAAAAATTACATAGCATTGCAGACTGCCCAAATGTTGATTAAATTATTTGTGGCAAGCCAATAAGATCAAGTTGGGTAAGAAGCTGAAACAGACTTGTTCTAGTATCACAACAGTTGGAAAGAAGGAATCCCAGAGCATCAGATGGTATCTTCAGCAATTTGAGAGGACTGTGTAGATCTGAAGCACCGCTCGCCTTTGCATCATAATGTTGTTCAAATAACACTGATTTTTTTTCTTTCAAGTAGTTATCTGTCACATTCACAAACTGTGCTTATTGTAAATCAAGTAAGAGTTTGGCATGTAGGAAAGATACCTGAAATGGATGCATATTCTGGATTTTAGAACAAAATAAGTTTCAGTAGGCTTTTTACTGGCCTTTGCATAGCTGTCAAGCTGATCAGCTCTCTATCTAGAACTGAAGAGTCCTCCCTTTCTGCCCGCTTCTATACAATTGAGGCAGAAGTGCAGGCCCACTACCAATGTGAACACAATGACAACCTTCATGAGCATCAGAGAAAGTGCCTAAGTGAGACAGTGAAATACCCTGTATCAGCACAGCCTTTGGTCCAGGGCCAGGTGAAGACTGGGCCAAAGGCCGAATCGGCTTAACTGCTCCAAAAAGTTAAATGAGAAACGTATTTTTTCATACATATGAGATACCTTAAGTACAAAAGCATTTTTTCAAGTGTAAAAACGGTGGCATCAAACGGCGTGATGGAGGAGTGACACACAGAGCAGCATGCTGAACATCTGCCATGAGTGAACGTACTCCAGCTGTACGCTGCTCACAGGTGCATTTCCAGACCCCAGCAGGGGAAGCAGTGCTGCTTATCTGCTGTCTGTCCATCTCTAGCAGCCCAGGATGTGACTGAAGTGTCCCTGAAATGACAAGATGGTATGTGACAAGATTATCAAAACCTGAAGCTTTTTCTCAGTATCCATTTTCAAACGTGACTGTAAAAGAAACAGACAGTTGTGCTGACAGCACCTCAAATGCTCCCTGCTTTCCCAAACAACTCGTGGACAAAGGTTAAAAACAGCTGCAACTTCAGTACTGCTCTCATCTCAAACTGTGGCTTAATGCACTTCTGCTGTCCCTTCTGAAACGTGTGGCAGTGATCGTGCCTACAAAAACAAGCTTCAATGTTAAGAGAGCAAGTCAAGGAGTGATATTCCCTTTGAATACACTTTGAAAATCATGGCATATCGTGTAGAAACAAAGACTTACATGCTTTCAGGAAAGCTGGTGTGAATGAGGTTCCTCATGCAAAGTACAATGCTGAGAAGACTATGCAAGATGAATCACCTCAGTCCTGTATGCCTGTATTCTGTTTGTCTTACTCCAGTGTGAGCTTTTATGCTTTTGAATTTCCCTCCCATCAGTAGCATACAGTTTCTCTAACATTATTACTATGAATAAGCATTGCAACATTATTTATTTTGCTACCTGGAGGCTCTTCCCTTAGGGACATTTCAGCTGTTCTGAAGGACTTCCATGATGCATCTTATTCATTGTGACAAGCTCATTTTCCCAAGGTGAAATTTTAATTCTGAAGAAAATTATCAGCTTACTACACATTTTATGCTCAATATAGGCTTTTTATTATTTTAAGAATGAACATATTACTAATATAAGTCCTACTAAATTTATCCAAGTGTAACCGTGTTACCTACCACGTCATGGCTGCAAATCACTGATGATCTGAAGGAAACACAACTGACAGATCTGTACAGTCAGTTCACCCACAATTAGAGGAGTTGTGGATAAATTGTGCTGTGGATGCAAGGACACCCACATGAGCCAGCTTCTATCAGGGTGGCTTTATGAGCTCAGCACAGCACGCATTCAGATGCACTACAACACAATCCCAGTTGCTCTAGCCCTGTCTTTGTGCCTGGCATTATGTCTAAACCAACAAACCCTGCTGACTGAAAGCCAGAGTCAAAAAGAATCCCTCCCCTCTGCAAAAGCACACCGTGGTGTGCAACCATGGGTGCAAAAGCAGTCACACATTTCTTTCATCCAGATTGTTCCAGGCCCATGACTCAAATAATGGAGAACTGAATATATACACTAACTTGATTATTCCATCACCAAACACTGCACCTTGCTCCTTGAACTCTGGTATTTGACACCACGCAACAGACGTCGATCAACTTTGGCACCGCTACAGGGAACATCAGGGAAAGCAGAATCTGAGTCAGTCACATTTTAGATCAGCCAGCTTTGAGCAAAGCAGCTTCTATTTCAACTCATGGTATGAGTCTAATTCGGCAAGAAGTCTAGCAAGTAGCTATCCAAGGGCTCCAGATGTTTATGACACCAACTTGAGTCACTATATTGACAGCACAGGACAGTTAAATGGGAGATTCCAGTTCTTCATTACACCCAAATAAATGAATGCTTGTTGAAAAGGTGAATTATATATCCTAAGGCATCTGGGTTCCTAATTATGATTTGAAGATCGTTACACAGTAAATGCCTTCTCAGCTCCCATAGGCTTAATAGACTTCTGATACTTTGGTTGGTCAAGGAGGGCAGATTGAGGTTGGATGTCAGGGGGAAGTTCTTTGCAATGAGAGTGGTGAGGTGCTGGAACAGCTGCCCAGAGAGGCTGCGATGCCCTGTCCATCCCTGGAGGTGTTCAAGGCCAGGTTGGATGGGGCCCTGGGCAGCCTGGGCTGCTATGAAATGTGGAGGTTGGTGGCCCTGCCTGTGGCAGGGGATTGGAGCTTCGTGATCCTTGAGGTTCCTTCCAACCCTGGCCGTTCTGTGGATCTATGAAAATCTGCACAACTGAAACTGGAGGAGCACCATAACCTCCTTCAGCGTTCTCAGCCGTTCTCTCTGGAGGTTTGGCCTTTAATGAATAGTAAAACAGAAAGTGCTTAAGATAACCATCACCTTTACGTGGGAGATTGCAGTACTACCACTGCAGTGTTCTTCCATACTATGCTGTGCCAAATCCCAGCTGCTGATTACAGCCTACACAAATAAAAAAGCTGTTTTTACCCAGCGTACTTTCCATACTGGAGTGGCCCAGAAGACAGCAATACTCAGCTGTCCAAAGACTTGCACTGCTATTCTGAAATGTCAGGCTGCCTGAGCTGAACTTTGCTGGCTACTAGTTCCTTAGCCAACTTGTTTAAAGCTGGGTCTAGTATAAGTGTAGTGCAGTGTAAGATGGTGTGCTGTATATCTGCTCTTTGGAAAGGAACTATCGAGTTAGAGGAAACAGTAAGAAATAGAATGGGAATCCTGAGTATTTTGTTATGATTCCGTAAATCAAAGAAGACATAATAACAACGTAGAGGAAGTTGTATGTTACTGTTTGCTTCAGTTACTTCCTAAACTCTGCTTTTTAGTGTGAATGTGAAAAATGTGTTTGCAGTCTCCATATTTTCCAACTGCTGCTGAAAACATATTAGTTTGTGCTCTGCTGGCATACCTCCGAAATGCTAAATCAATCTGCCTTCTTTTATTTACATGCTTTATTCCTGAGAAATGTAATTGTGGTTTTTATTAACTTTGTGTTTTATGGATCTAATACTTAAGAACAAGTCTATCTTTTATGCCACAGAAAGAAGGTTAATATACTTACAGATTCTCCAGCAATACATCTTGGGCAAGGCTGGGCAGTACCTCTGCTTCCTTGGTTTTCAAAAATCTAATTAATAAAAACATGTACAGAACCATAAAAAAAAAGAACAAAAAAACCAATTACTTGCAGTTTTATTACAAAACTGGCTTTAAATGCCCTCTAATAAATAGATATGTTGACGGTGTAAACATACCATAGAGTTTTGCTTTGTCTTTGTAGCCCAAGGACCACAGCCAGAGGAGACTTTCTGTTTAGAATCCAGCTCCATAGCACAGTCAATGAGGCGAGCATCAACTTCATTGGGAATGGCTTCTAAGGGCTTGCACACTCGCTTCTGAAAGAATAAAAAGGAATATATGCGTGTCTTTACAAGGCATAGGCCGTTGGGTACAAGCCTGCAGGATTTGCTTATGACTGACAGGGATCTTATATTCACTGGGATGAACAGTCAGTGCAGCGAGTTAGTAAATGCAGCCTGCAAGCACAGGGCCAGAGCACAAACACTGCATGGAGCACCGTGCCTGGCGCTGGGTGAGCAGGGACGTGTGTGGATCTCACTAAACATCTCTGAGCCTCAGTTTCAGAACGTGGGGAGAGAAGGCCGGTGGGAAAAGAGGATACGTCACCCTCCATTAGCATCTAATTTCAGATGGGGCTTATCAAAGGAGCAGATCATGGGAAGTTCTTAGAAACGGCTAATTAAACCACGGAAACGGAAGGAAAACCCCGCAGCCAAGTCAGACAGCTATGAAGACATCTTTTGTAATGGTTTATTTGTGTCTTTTTCTGCAAACTGTCCCCTTCTTACAGCTTTCCTCTGCTACCCAAACAATCGGCTTCCTGCTTCTCACCTGAACTGTTACCTGGTGTTGAAGGACTTCTGGATTTCCTGCAAATCGCTCCAACTCTGGAGCATGGGCTGTGCTAAGTGGGGATGCCTTTCCCACAGCTCTTGGCATCCCAGTGCAAGATTGGAGGTCTGCTGAGATAATGCCTCAGTGTGCAAAGCGTGTCATGAACCCAGAAGGGTGAGGGGCAGCTGTGGGGCAGGCACCAATCGGGATCCCTAAGAAGGGAACTGCCCTTGGCCTGTGACTGCACTAAGATGCTCTTTGAAACTGTAGCAGCACATTAATAATAATGAGAAATATCAGAACTGATGCAGACGTTTCAGGGCCTGGCTCTGACCGAATCCCAAGGAGGTGCACACGCTTTTGAAACAACTTTCTGAACAAAGTTTGTTTAAGGAGCAACAACATTCCATCTCACTTAGGATCTCACAGGTGGGAGAGGCATTGCCACAGAACTGACAGACTATAGAAGCACGGAAACTAAATGAAAATGTGAATACATTATGTAAAAATAAAATAGATCAATACAACAGGAACCTCAGTGGAAAACAGTTGAAAGGAGCACGCTATCAAGGAATATAGGATACTTGGACGGGAAGTAAATCAAAAAGTGAAATATGTATTGTAGTAAGAAAGTGAATAATGTAATAATAAAAAGTCTGAGGAGGTCCTCCAAAGGCAGATTGCCTTCCACTGGAAAAATGCTCTCCTCCCTTTGTTGCAGCAGAACTTGTCCTTTATTAAAAGCTAAAGCGTGGTGCTACAGCAGCAGAGCCGGCACGGTGTGTGAGATGAAGGAACAGAGCAAAAAATGACTCACTGCCACGTACCAGAGGAAATTTGGCTCATTAAAAATAAACTCAAAGCATTGTTTTGGGGGAGTTCAAGACATCTAGCACCAGTGACAGGAATTCAGCACACAGAGCAGCTGGCTGACAATCCTATCACAGCGATGCCAAGACGATCTGTGGGAATTGCTGGCAGAGCTGGCTGCAGGGAAGGGTTCACTCCTGGAATTCTCTCTTAGGAAAGAAACAATCGATACATCAATCCTGCCTGTGAACGGAACGCATTTAGCACAGGGCTCAAAGTGCCTGTGATGAGTAAGGATCAATGAGGGAGCCGGTGAAAAGGCAACCACGCACTGCGTCAAAATGACTAATTTTGTTAGGGAGAGACTGTGGTACATCTCCAGCTTGAAACGTAGTTGGAGACAAGCACCAGCAATTCACAGCGTGTCCCAGAACAGGCAGAAAACAGGGCTGCTCGCAGAGCAGATGTTCTGTCACTCTCTCTCCCAGCTGGCAAGTCCTGGGAAAACACGTGTGTTTGCTGAAAGGATGAAGGCCTCGCAGCTACGAAAAGTGAAACCAAGGTTGCAGAACGCGGCTGGGAGGGCTGTCCCGAGTGGGGAGGGTCCCCAGGGATCACGACTCAGAGCGCCGCGCTCCACGCAGCGCCGCCTCCAAAGGCCTCCGCGTCCAAACACCGCAAACGCTCCAGCACGGAGCTCCATGCCGCAGGACGTCACTGAAACGCGTGCAGATCGCCGAGCCGACGTGCAAAGATCAACCACGCGTCCCTCCGTACGACGCACAGCGGGAGCAGAAGAAGCAGCGGGGAATCTTTGCCATCGACAACAGCGTTCAGAACGACCTCTAGGCCGGGGCTCAAAACACCGAAGGGCCGAACCCCTCCTCGTCGCCGCCAGAGGGCTCTGAGCCCGCCGCGTCCGCCCGGGGCCGCCATCCCCCGCCCGACCCCCGGCACTCACACGCTCCGGTTCTCCCGGCTCCGGCTCCCGCAGCCCCCGCCGCCCCCGAGCCATCGCCTCCATGGCGGCGGGGCGGCACACGCGGCTCGGGAAGCTCCGGAGCCCCGCCTGGACCCGCTGCCGCTCCGGGCACTGCCGACCTCCCGCACGGGGCGGGGCCGGGGACGGAGGGCAGCGTGCCCGGGCTTGGGGCGGTGAGCGGAGCTGCCCTGGGGGAGGTCGCTGAGCCGCCGTAGCTCGGAGTATCGCGGAAGGAGCAGAGAGCAGCAAGTTTTATCTGCTGTTATTTCTGCACGTCCTGAGCAATAACGGCGCTGTAGGGCTCCTCCCTACGTCGGGGTGACGGGGATGTGCGGGAGTGCAGCGCGGTGCTGTGGGGAGTTGGGATGGGTCAGGCTGGAGAAGGAGGGAGCGTGTAAACAGGAGGGGGAACGGCTGCTAAAGAGGATGGATAGTGATAGGATAAGGGGAATGGTTTTAAACTGAGACAGGAGAGGTTGAGGTTGGATATAAGGAGGAAGTTTTTAAGCCAGAGGGTGGTGAGGCACTGGCACAGGTTGCCCAAGGAGGCTGTGGATGCCCCATCCCTGCAGGCATTCAAGGCCAGGCTGGATGTGGCTCTGGGCAGCCTGGGCTGCTGGTTGGTGACCTGCACACAGCAGGGGGTTGGAGCTGGGTGAGCACTGTGCTCCTTTGCAACCCAGGCCGTTCTGTGTTTCTATGATTCTATGATATGATTCTCCTGCACCAGCTATCTCCCACCAAAAGGGAGAAAACAAAATGCATGGGAGGAAGTGTGACCTAGCAGAATCCAACAGAGCTCGTCACTCCCTGTTGCTGCATGTCACAGATAATATTAGTCTTCCTTTTAGGTTTTTTGGGTTTTTTTTGTGGGTCTTGAGACCAGCACAGGCTTAACTCCTCTGTCGGGAACATCTAATACTCCGCTTGTCTGTTCTGCTCTGCTAAATCAAGCTATTTGCATTGTCAAGCTATCCCTGGCATTCCTTCCAGTGCTTATTCTGCACTAGGGATCCAGTTGTACTTACACAGTATGCTCTGTCACATTCTTTGAGCCTGAGGGTGCACCACAAAAAATTAATCCGCAGATTCTTTTTTTGTTGTTGTTGTTTTTAATTTAGCAATTGACATGCCTGATAGGAAAAAAAAAAAGATAATAAAAAAATAACCCTAAATCTGGGTAATCCAGTTTGCACAACATCTGAAGCATAACTCATTGCTGAGTTTGAACCAAGCCCAAATCCATTCACATCAAATCAGATTTATTTAATTATTTCAAACCACCTTCCAATTCCACCCCCAAGAGCCTGTTTATGTTCCTTGCCAGTAGAGCCAGTGCTGCAGACTGGCTTCCCATTTTACATTCACGTTCTTAGAACAATAGGATACACTACAGTCAAACAAGCATTTTGTGACACAGCCATCTAAATCTGCTAGAGTACAGCAGGTGAAAGGTTGGGAAATGTCAGCTGCATAGCCCCTTCCCACTGCTGTTACACCAAGAGCTGCCACATCTTAAGGCAAATTTCTGTCTTATTTAAATCACAGAATCAAAGAACGGCCTGGGTTGCAAAGGAGCACAGTGATCATCTCATTTCAACTCCCCTGCTGTGTGCAGGTCACCAACCAGCAGCCCAGGCTGCCCAGAGCCACATCCAGCCTGGCCTTGAATGCCTGCAAGGATGGGGCATCCACAACCTGAACCTATCTGAGAATACTTGCTCTTTATTTCATAGTGTTCACGCTACAAAATCTCTTAATCTTTCAAATCTACACAGTCTGTGATTCTGTGATTCTTCCAGACCAATTTTTTTAATCTTGTGTCATGCATCTGTGAGTGCAAATATAGAATCACAGGATCACAAAATTGCCCAGCTTAGAAAAGACCCTCAAGATCATCAAACTCAACCACAACCTAACTATGCTCCCCTAACTCTAACAACCCTCTGCTAAATCACGTCCCTGAGCACCACATCCAAATGGTTTTTAAACACATCCAGGGACGGTGACTCAACCACTTCCCTGGGCAGCCTCTTCCAGTGCTTAACAACCCTTTCTGTAAAGAAGTTTTTCCTGATATCCATCCTAAACTTACCTTGCTGCAACTTAAGGCCACGTGATGTCGGGTCGTATTTTTGCTTATCATTATTTTTTTCAGACTCTATTATGAGATTCAGTCTTACCACTTTCAGTGTCCTGTGCCTGGCTCCTATTTTATTTAGTTTTACTTTACAGTGCACACACACCAATAAAGGCTATTTCTATACAGAAACATAGCTTATATATATTCTGAATACATCTCAGGGGCTCTGAAATAAGACGATTAGCACATGTAAAGCCATTCTTTTGCAAACTGACATTCTCAGGCGGGGCCAGCAATGTGAGCAGCACCATCTCTCTCCTTTTTGTGGCTCCCAGACTTGCACATCTCCTCTGTTAACCAAGTCCTTTGCAACTGGAGGTGAGCAGTAGATCAACTGGGCACTGTGGGAGCCCTGCCAGATTAATTTGGCCTGCTGCCTGTTATTCAATCTGGAGTCGTTGAAGCCCTGGGTTTCCCTGGGACCGTGCTGCCAAATACTCCATATGGGATGCCCAGAAATATAGCCTCGTGTTAGGGAGATTTAGGTCTCCGGCGTCTCAATGGGGCCATACATTTGTAACTGCAATCCTTGTTTCTACCTTCCAAATGAACCTTGAAAATGCCTCGCCAACCTTATTAAGGAGCGAGGCTTTAAATTATCTGACGTGGCTGTGGTTGACACAGGCTACAGAGGAAGTCGTTCGTTTTGAAGGACCACATTTCTTATCCATTTCTTCCCGGCAATGTGGCCCATGATGAGGACAGCACAGGCAGCTTTGCGAGCATCTTTTTAACAGCATCAGGGTAAAGGCGTATGAGACTTTTCAGTGATCTCAACCTCAGGACCGCTTCATAAGCAAGGACCACTTATAGACATTGGTCATTTCCTCATTTAGGCAAACCGCCGGCTCAAAGCGCAGCTTCGGCTTTAAAGCCTCTCAGAGGGACGCAGCGCGCAGCTCCGCCCTGCGGCTCTGACTGACGGCTCTGACTGACGGCCGCCCTTCCCGCCACCGCCTCCTCAGCCTCGCGGCGCATGCGCAGAGGGGCGGGCAGCACCTGCGCGAGAGGCGCGGCCCCGTCTGCGCCTGCGCGGCCGTCGCTCCCACGTGACCCCGCGCCGCTCCTCCTTCCTGCGGCGCGGCCATGGCGGCGGGGGAGGTGGTGACGGCGGGATCCGCAGAGGAGTTCCAGCGGCTGCTGCAGCAGAAGGAGCGGTGAGGCCCAGCTGGGCTGCGGGGCGGCGTTCTGCCGGCTGAGGGAGCGGGAGGCTTGGCGGATAGGGAGGGTGGAACGGCGGGAGCTGAGGTGCGACCCCGGAGGGGGGGAGAGAGACGTGAGGCCTCGATAGGCCTCGGGCTGGGCGTGCTGGCAGGGTGCTGTGTGAGCCATCCTTCTTAAGTGTGTGTCCGGGTTGGGGCTGCGAGAAAGGACGGGACGGGCACTTCTTCGGGGTCTCTTGCGGTAGGATGTGGGGAAATGGTTTCAAGTGTAAAGGGGGGATGTTTAGGATTGGTGTAAGGAAAAAGCCTCGCTTGTGGGAGGTGAAATGCAGAAGCTGTGCTCTGTCATGGAGTGGCACAGAGGTGCTGGAGGAGCTGGTGGCCAGGGCAGGCAGCACAGCTGCTCCCAAGCTCGCCTTTCAGCTTGCAGGGCTGGTAGGATGTATCCTATTATGTATCCTATCGTACTGCTACCAAGGTTTCCTAGAATTGCTTTGGAAAAGGAGGTCAGTGGTTCTGCATGTGAGTTGCTCTTAGTTCTGTATTCGGAGTATGTGCTCAGGTGACACGGCTTCTGTTCCTGTGCCAGTGTTGTGCTGCATGCAAGGCCATGGAAATCTGGTGTGAGCTTCCATTGTTTGGTGGTGGAAGATACAAAATGGCTTGTAGGGCATCAATCTGCTGATTCTTGTGTCCAGGTAGATTAACAATAGTGCATATTTGTCTTCTTTACCTCCTGTTATCTGGGGTATTTGACTTAGGGAAAGTGAGTTGAAACCAGCAGAGTTGAGAATGAATTGCAAATATGCTGTCGCAGTCATCAGAGCCTGCAGGGTTAAGCTCGTGAGAAGTAGCACGTGGTACCTGATTTGATGGGGTGTCTGTTCACACAGCTGACTAACTTTTAAATGCTGTGCTTGATTAATACCAAACAGTGGATGGGAAGCTGCATGTGAGCCAGCACTGTGCCCTCCCGGCCTGGGAAGCCAATCAAAAGAAGAGTGATCAGTAGTTCAGGGAGGTGATCCTACCCTTCTGCTGTGTGCTGGTGGGGCCTCACCTGGAGCACTGTGTCCATATGTGGAGCTGTGATGCAGCTGTGGGTGTCCCTGTGCATTGCAGGGGGTCAGACCAGGTGGCCTTTGGAGGTTCCTCCCAACTCAAACCACTCAGTGGCAGTTCTGAGTTAGAAGGCCTAGGTGCTCATCTTTCATACAGTGTGTTGGCTTTGGCAGGGAGGAGCTGCCTCTGACAGTGACAAAGACAAAAAGGGCTTTGGGAGCCTTCCTGAATGGCAGGTTTGGTAATGTTCTTCACTTGTTCTGGGGAGGCAGAGGTGTGGTGGCAGTTGTAGCATCTTTAATTCATGACCTGTCTGTGTCTAAGTGGATTTGGTGTGGTGTGTTAATAGAAGTTGCTTTGTCAATGACGTTTCTATGCCATTTAGCTGCTGAGTTATCAGCAGCCTTTGAACATGGAAGGAGAGAAAACTGAAGGAATTACTGGTGTGGGATAATGAAATTACCAGCCTCAGGTTCTTAATGACAGCTTAAAGAAACGTTGAGATGCTTTGATTATTTTAGGAGGAAGATTTTCATCCAGAGGATGGTGAGGCACTGGCACAGGTTGCCCAAGGAGGCTGTGGATGCCCCATCCCTGCAGGCATTCAAGGCCAGGCTGGATGTGGCTCTGGGCAGCCTGGGCTGCTGGTTGGTGACCTGCACACAGCAGGGAGTTGGAACTGGAAAATCACTGTGCTCCTTTTCAACCCAGGCCAATCTAGGATTATTGGAGGAAGAGTCTTGCTGAGCAACTTCTAATTCTTTCTGGAATTTCCCTTCTGCAAAGGGGCTGAATGGGGATGTGGAAGGAATTCCACTCTCATGCGCGCACACACACACACACACACACACACACACACACACACACACTTCTATGTGTGTACACAGGCTGAAATGAAAATATTTTCAGGAGCAAATTCAATATTTTGAAGTTATTCTCAGCAGCCAAAAAAAAAAAAAAAAAAAAGCAAAAACAAACAAAAAAAAAAAACAAACCCACAAGAAAAACCCACCAGTAGTTCTTCATTCACCCCAGAACTTAGGTCAGTTTTCTCTTTAATAGTTTTAATTATTTGACATGTACTTTTTTTTTTGGCTCTTCGTTGAGTCGATAGTACTGACAGTTATATTCCTCTGTTTGATTTGAAATATTTGGCTTTTTTTTTGTTACTGCTAAGAAACCCAAACTTTTGTGAATGACATAATGTGGTGATGGAATGATGGTTGGACTTAGTGATCAGTCATAGAATTTTTTTGTTTTTAATCATATCATGTCTGGATGATATTAGAAGTTATTTATCAATGTACTTTTTACGTTTAGATGATCAAAATGAAATTGAGAGTTAATGATGTCACTGTATTTCAAAATATTCACTTAAATTATGAAGCAGGAAAGCAAAAGTTTCTTAAAGGAAGTACAAAGTGATACAGGAAGAGAAGCTTCTGGAGAAGCTATCAGTATTTGTTACCATCCTCTTTTTCTTGATAGTGGTAATTTCTTACAGAATATCCTGGTTGGACCTAGGAAATGCTTTTAGAACTACTGATGTGCTTCATTAACTCTTGATTTTCTTCCTTGCTTACTATTGTAAATTACTTCTGCATTTTTTTCAAGCTTTGTTTATAAATCCCTGGCACTGAGAGGGCAGTGTAATTCAATACAGAATGAATTTATCAACAAAAGAAAGCTGCCTGCAGTGTGTGCTGTGCAGTGTGTGGCTCCGTTGCTTCAGTTCTCACCAAAGTGTGGCTGTAGAGGTTTTGGAAGAACTCTGCTCTGCAGAGAGAGAACTGCTGCATGAGCTGCCTGTGCTGTCCCTTGCTGTCCCCTGCTGCTGCTTTTGCTCTCTAGGCAGACTCCATCCAAAAGAACATTACAAGTTTCCATGCTGAAACAGAGTTTCAGAATCAGTGAGTTTCAGAATTACCTTTGAGCAGTGACTCGTGATCTGAGGAACCTCTGTCAAATCCTGTTTATAAGTAAAGAGTAAGTCATTAAAATGAGCCTTTACTGGGATTTCAGTGCTGGAAATCAGCTGTGGGAGGTGGAATGCAGAAGCTGTGCTCTGTCATGGAGTGGCACAAAGGTGCTGGAGGAGCTGATGGCCAGGGCAGGCAGCACAGCTGCTCCCAAGCTCGCCTTTCAGCTTGCAGGGCTGGTAGGATGTATCCTATTATGTATCCTATCGTATTGCTACCAAGGTTTCCTAGAATTGCTTTGGAAAAGGAGGTCTTTGAAGTCAGTGGTTCTGCATGTGAGTTGCTCTTAGCTCTGTATTCGGAGTATGTGCTCAGGTGACACGGCTTCTGTTCCTGTGCCAGTGTTGTGCTGCATGCAAGGCCATGGAAATCTGGTGTGAGCTTCCATTGTTTGGTGATGGAAGATACATCAATCTGCTGATTCTTGTGTCCAGGTAGATTAACAGTAGTACATGTTTGTCTTCTTTATCTCCTGTTATCTGGGGTATTTGACTTAGGGAAAGTGAGTTGAAACCAGCAGAGTTGAAAATGAAATACAAATATGTTGTCACAGTCATCAGAGCCTGAAGGGGAGCTACAGGAAAGAAGAGGACAGACTCTTTATCAGGGTCTGTGGTGATAGAACAAGGGGCAATGGCTTCAAGCTCAAAGAGGGCAGATTTAGGTTTGATACAAGGGAAAAGTCTTTTACATGGAGGGCAGTGAGGCACTGGAACAGGCTGCCCGGAGATGTGGTGGATGCTCCATCTCTGGAGACTTTCAAGGTCAGGCTGGATCAGGCCTTGGTGTCCTGATTCACTGCAGGGGAGTTGGACTGGATGGCCCTCAGAGGTCTCTTCTGACTCTAAGGATTCTGTGATTCAAGAAAACCTTGAAGAAGAATAAGAAGTTGAAGAAATAAATGGCATTTCAGCATAAGAATTTTTAGCGAAGTCCCAGTTGATTTTAATAAAAGTAGTCATTTTTCTCTGATGGGAAATCAAAGAGGCAGCACAGCAGTGGCACTGCGGGCAGAGGGCTATGGTGAAGGTGCTGAGCTGGGGCTCAGGGCTGAGGGGTGATGTGCATGGTTGGAGGTGCAGGGTAGAGGGCTGGTATGCCTGGCTGGAGCTGTGGGGAAGTTGCAGCTCTAGGATGGATTCTGAGTGCTTGGCCTTCGTGTGTTTCAGGAGCAGCTTCCTGTAGCTTCACCCCATCTCCAGTCTTGCTGCTCGTTCTTTTTTCTGTCTGACATTCCTATAGCATGATTCTTTCCCATCGAAGTACACGACTAGTGGTTGGCAGCCCTGCACACAGCAGAGTTGACACTAGATGATCATGGTGGTCCTTTTCAACCCAGGCCTTTCTGTGACTCTGACATTTTTTTCTTTCTACTGTGTTGCCTTAACAGAAGTGTTAGGTGTTGTTCTGTTCCCTGAGAAAGCAGTGAAGTTATTCTCTCTGTAAGTCATAGAAAAATGTTCCCAGTTTCACTTACTCAGTTTTCTTCCCAGGAAGACGTGGGTTTGTGTAAGTGTGTCTGTGACAAATGAAACCTGTATAGCGCATAATTGTTACTTAAAAGTAAATGCTGTTATTTTTTTTTCCTTTTAATAGAGCACTTGTAGTTGTCCACTTCTGGGCACCATGGGCTCCCCAGTGTGCACAGATGAATGAGGTTATGGCCACTCTGGCGAAGGAACACACGCAGGTTACGTTTGTGCAGGTAAGTCCTCAAGGCCGGGCAGCCAAGGGTGTTGGGAACAGAGGAGAGCTGCTGTTTGATGTGTGATGGCATGTCACAGAGAGTGAGTGCAGCTGGCTTTGAAGATCTGCTTTGACTTGTTTGAAAACAGAGTTGAATATATGAAAAAGATGCATCAAAAAATGTGTGGGATAAAAGTTTTAAGTTCTTCTTTCCAAACTTGATACTCTATAGACAGCACCTTCATTTATCTTAGTACTTAAAGGAGGAAAAAAAAAAGTTTACTAAAATACAATGAAGAGATGTCTTCTGTTAGCTACTTATCTAACAAATAAGCTTTTAAATTTATGCCTGCAGCTTCTCAGTCCTTCCCTTCTGTGTACAGTGTGTTTATTTTTCATCTGTGGATTTCAGGTTAATTTAGAAACAGTGTCCTTTTAAACATGCTACAGATTTTGTTTGTTCTCATGATAATAGTTAGCCATGTAGATCTAGAATTTGTATAGATACTTTTCTTAGTTTTCTGTATGGTGCTTCAGAAGAAAAGAACAGCAGTCTTCTTGATGTTTAAAGGGGAGACAGTTCATGTTTCTGCAACATTGTCACTCTGATATGAGGATAGTGTTAGCACCAAGTGGTTGAGACATCAATGAGCTGCTGTATGTTTGTGGCATCTTCTGCACATCCTAGAGAGGCAATGTGGAAGGGAAAATGAATGAACTTCAACAGTGTGCTGTTCATTTTAAAACAACTTTTTCTTGTTAATGAGATGCTTGTATGATTATGGAGGCAGGGAGTAATGGAACAGCCAGCTCTGTGCAATTTCTGTGTTCCAGAGTAGCCAGGATTGGACTTTTCCCAGGCAGGAGCCTGTTAGCTCAGCAGATGGTTCAGGATGGCTGAGCAAGAGCAGGGCAGTGCCCTGCCAGTCAGAACCCAGGGTGTTCTAGAGTAGAGCAAGTGATGAGGAAATGATCTTCAGAACTGACAGTAATTGCTGAAATGTTTTCAGATGTAATTCCTCAGTTTAGTTGCTGCCTATCCTCGTTCTAAGATCCTTGCCTTGGTTAAGTTGTTTTGTATTGAGAAACTGTTAGAAAAAGTCTTTTGAGAAGAGATACCAAGATGAGCAAGTTATTGAAATGTGAAATCTGTGTGTGTGTGACTCGAGCAGAGTGGAAAACAAATAGCTGGGTAAAGAAAATTACAGTTATGGAAGTGGCTTTTAATCATGTGCTACTTAAAAGACAAAAGCTAATTAGAATATTTACAGTTTTCAGCTCACAGTTCTGAGTTACTGCATTGAGTTGCTTCTGTGTTGAGGAAGTTCCTTGAGAGCCTGCTGAGTTAGTGAACCAAAATGTGTTGTAATGCTCAAGTGCTGAGATGTTTGCTGCCTTCAGTTGCAATAACTGGCAGGTCTCACTCTAAAACAGCTCAGTGAGGACAGATGTATGGGCAGCTGTGAGCTGTTTGCTTGTGCTTGTTCCTGAATTGTCACTGTATGGATTGTGGAATAACACTGAAAGGCTTTTTCTTCTAGGTGCTGGATCACAGGTTTCTCCTTGAAACATATCTAGTAACACTTGTTTTCTTTACCATTAACTCTGCAGTTGCTGTAGAGCAAGTGTCTTACACAGTCCTGTACTGTGAAACTTGTCACTCCAGTAAGCTTTTAGCCCATGCATAGCAAATCATCAATTTAAGTCAATTAAAAGGTATGTTTGTACAGTGAATTGCTACCTTGTGTAATTTCAAGGCATGTTTCTGAAGGCTGAATAAAATCAGAACCAATAATCTGAACAAGCTTTGCACTCAGTGCTCAGTAGCATCGTAGGAGTTAAAACCAAAATTTAGCAGGCATCAGGAGCTTATTGAAGAAACGCTCCTTTTTGCTTCGTAATTTGCAGAAGGCTGCAAAAGTCACTCGTGATGTACTGCCCCTTGAAATTAGTCAATAGAGCAAACAGCAAGAATTGCTGTGGGCAGAAAATAAGCACTGTAATCATGACATAACTGGGGTCAATGATTTATGGATTTCAATATAGTAGTAGCTGCATATGATTGAAAATTTACTAGGTCACCAGTGCACCAAAAATTTTCCTCACAGCCTCCAGGCATCTTTTGAAATGTGCAACAAAATAAAAACCTCTGAACCTGTTTTGACACTGTAGGCTCAGTGGATGACATGCCAGCGAGTCTCATTTAAATGCAAATATGTCACAAACTTGTGTGTCAAATTCCTTTTTAAATGTATAAAGCATCTCTGAGAATATCTTAGACAGGTTTGACATCCACAATCAAACTTGAAAGAAGATTATGAAAATAAAACTATTTTTCTTCTCTCTCTTTGTTGCTGTTTTCCAGCTGGAAGCTGAAGCTGTGCCTGAAGTGTCTGAGAAATACGAAATTAGTTCTGTTCCAACGTTCTTATTCTTTAAGGTAAGAGAAGACAGGTTGAGAAGAAAATGAACTTTTAATATGTATATTTTTTTATGCTGCTAGGAGAGCAGAAACTTGGTGAAAACTCAGTGGAGAAACATTTGTGTGTCTGATCTAACCTATCCAGAGGGATCTAAGAATCATTTCTGTATGCATTATTTTTGTGTAATTTTTCAGGGATTTCTTAATTGCTTTGGAGTTCTTAACAAGTTTTTATGTTAGCTGTCATACTTTTTTAGTAACGTTCTCTAGCTGTGGTGCTACAACATGGCATAAAAGAAGAAAACTCAACAGTCTTTTGGTAGAAATGACAAGCCTCTATGGGGTGCATTTACCTGTGATGATAAAGTTCTTAATACTTCCTCTAGCATTCTTTCAGTGTAAGCTTTGCTAGTGTTGAGTAGCTAGCTAACAGAATGGTATGGCTCTTGAGTGTGCTGCTGCTAAAGATTGGCTACAAGATCAATGCACTAAGGCAAAAACCTGTGTTTTATCTGGTGGTTTCACTGTTTTTTGGGACAGTACACGTTCTGAATGCAGTCCTTTCACACAGCCTGTATTTTGGCTTCCTCAGAACTCCCAGAAAGTTGACAGATTAGATGGTGCTCATGCCCCAGAGCTGACCAAAAAAGTCCAGCGCCATGCGTCCAGCGCTTCTGTTCCTGCTGGCTCTAATGACAGTGCAAAAGAAGATCTTAATGTTCGTCTGAAGAAACTCATCAATGCTGCCCCTTGCATGCTGTTTATGAAAGGGTCTCCAAAAGAACCTCGCTGTGGTAAGGATTTTCTGAAGGTCATGTTCAATGTGGCAGTGCTGTTTTTAGGCTACTTTAAGATTTGGAGTTACATCCCGATGGTATCTTGCATGCTTAGAAGCATTAATAGAGGTCCTTGCTTACCTACAGCTAAAGAATTGTTGTGTGTTTGCTTCAGTTTTGGAAATGGCATCACAAATACTAGGTACTGTCTGAAGAATATGTACAGTGCTATCCTTAAACATTCCTCATGTTCAGTCACTGTGTATTTTGTGCATCACTTCACCTGTTAAAATGTCAAATAGTCTGAAGAGTATGATTCCATTCAGGGAATAACAAGAATTAACTAACAGAATCACTGTTGCCATTTTGGATAAAGAAGCCAAAGCTACACTAGCTGGTAAAACTGAAAGACAGTAGCATGACTGCTACAGTGGAAAGGCTTTTACTTAAGCCTAGTTCTATAAACAGTGAGCACAAATTAAGAGGACTTGATTCCCAGCTGACTTGAAGTGTTTATCTGTAGAAAAGCAGGTAAACACATATTAAAAAGCAAGGTTAGGTGCTGTGAAGCTGCTACCTTTCTACTCAGGTGGTCTCAACAAGTTGCTGCACAGTACTGATGCTTTGCTTGGCCTGCCTGCCTTCTAGGGACAGGTCAAGATAACAGCTTCAGTTTGTTTTCAGTTGTCAGTCAGCTTCTAACCCACCAGTGTTTTTCTTTCATACCGTAGTGAATTTTCAGCTTCTAGTTTTTGTGCTGTTATTTTCATGTATATAACTGCTCTCTAACCCCTATATCTCATCTTGGATTTTTTTTTTCTCCCCCAACACCCCCAAAACAAACAAACAAACAAAAAAAACCAACAAACAACACCAAAGAGCAAAATGCAGTGTGGGAAAATAACCATTCCTCATCATTTATCTCCCAGATGTTTACTTGAAGTTTGAAGACTGTCTTGTTCAGGGAATGGTGGCAATATGTTATAATTATAAAATTATAAAACCAAAAGGTTAGAACAACTGGATGGGGGAAGCTTGCAATGATTTGTCTCCATTCTCTCACCATATTGGTCTGGAGATTAAATATTGCAATGCCTACAGTTCCTTTTGTGAAGCAGCTGATGCTGAGATGTGTAAGATTAGATTCCTTTGCTACGTGTGCATGCCTCCTGTAAGGCAAGTTGTGCTAACTATATTGCAGGGCCAAAAAGATGAAGGAATTTACAAGTGTAACAGGGAAATCAGGAAAGAACTAGAAACAGTAACTCCTTACAGGCTGAGCTGCTGGCAGTGAGCAAATATTTACAGAACCAATAAAGAGACAAGTGCTTAAATTGTTACATGAGACTCTCCACCCCTGTTGTGTCCTAAGTGTTCAACACGTGCTGCCCAGAGGCACATCAGTGCTTCTCCTATCCAGTCAGGAGCCCACAGATTGATCTGAGCTGGTGGCATGGTGTGGTGAGTTAGGGATGTTGCTATCAGCTGCCAAACATCCTTGTGCTGTGCTAATAATGCTGCTTATCCTCCACACATGGAAAATCTCATAATGGTTTAAGTATTAGATTTAGCTAACAAGTTTCAAATGCAGATATGCCTCTGTAGCCATCTCTTGCATGTTCCATTGGACTGTGTCCAGAAACTGAATGGAAGAGCTGTGATAGTACCTAAAAGTACCTGATTCTGTGATAGTACCTAAAAGAAACCACATACACTGTTTACTTAAGTGTGGAAAGGTGCAAATTGGAGCACACTGATTTGGTGAAGATAATACAGATGTGGCTGTGTGACTCTCAAAACAGTTTCTGCTATTTTGCATTGTGTCTGTGCAGGCAGGATGTTACAGGATAGCTATTTGTATTTCAGGAATTGTGTCTGTAGCAGTGCTTATTGAAATTGAGGATTGGGTCCACTGGGTAAATGAGAGTCTTTTCATTAAGTTCAGGTGGCTTTAGGTCACGACCTGTGCTTGACAGACGGGGGAGCTGAGCAGAGTGGCGGTGACAGTGGATCTACTGCTTGGGCCTACTGGGATGGAATTACAGTGAGAAGCTGACTCTGCGTGCGTTGGGCAGGAGAACTGTCTGTCTGTCAAATGCTGGTAATTGGAGGGAGTTTAGTACAGGGCTTGGTGCCTTTTTTTGAGAAGGAAAACTTGCTTTTAAAGAGACAATATTTGAAAGAGAAGCAGTGACACATCAGGTGTGTGTCAGCCTGGGCTGCGTGCTGCAGAGATGGGTGCTGCTGGGCAGGGCAGGAGGAGCCTGGCAGCTCAGCCCAGCGCTTGTCTGGCCTGTGTGCCTCTTTTCTTACTGCCCCTGCACTCAGTGCCTACACAGCATTCCAGCTGCTCTTAAATGTTTGCGTGCTGCTTTACTGTTGGTTGCTGTCAGAAGGTTGTAGAGGAACAAGTGCACGAAAGAGGCATCCCAAACTGTGTCAGGCTTCTACTGTTGTTAGTATTTACACAGTCTGTTTTTCTTCTTTATCCCTTTCAAATTTCAAGCCTGTTGTTTCTTTTCACTGCATTAACAAAGTGCCAGTATTGCTTCAGCAGGAACAGATTGAGGAATAACCCCAGATCTCAGAGCTTCCACGTGCGTTGTGCTGTTGTGTGTTTGGGGTTACAGGAGCTGTGTGTGTGAGCTGGTGAAGTTGCATCTATGTATCTGTAGTTTTGTGCTGCGTAACAGTGTAGCTACAAGTGCTTGCAAGTTGATGTGGTCATAGGAATTGTAGATTGTTTTCTTTAGGAATTGGAATTTTGGCTTATTCTGAAGTAGATCTGTGAAATGCAACTGTTGGTACATCCTATAATAACTACGTAATAGGGCAGTGCTCTGAGCTCCATATATTTGTGCCTACATCAGGGCTTCCTGCAGCCTCGGTTATTCGGATGCGTGCTTTGGATTGAGCTGTGTTGGGTGCAGATGTAGCAGTGCTGCAGGTGGACCTGCTGTGCTGGTGTTGCTGAATGAAGGTTTCCCAGAGGGCAGTGAGCAGAATGCCAGACAGATCTGTTGGGCAGGGAGAAGGAAGGCCCTGTGTGGATTTTTGTGTGTTAAAGTTACTGATGGGGGAGTTGCAAGGCTAAATAAAAAACATGGAAGCACAAACCAAAAAGGCATTTCTAGACATCAAAGCTAAGGAGTGCTACTTTGGGGTAAACCCAATATGGAAAGCAGATTAATGGCATAGCACAGGCTCACTTGCCTTGCATTAACATGATAAAGTAGGTAGTTCTTCAAACCTGAAAAATGCACAGGAGGTCCTTGCCTAAATAAATGTATGTATTAAAACGTAATGCAATAGAAAATAACCTGAACTTATGGCTCTTAATTTTGTAATTAAATATTATACTTGCTTTAGAATGCTTTGGCAGCTCCTGGCAGTAGCTGGGAGATGTCAGTAAGTTGGCTTTCACATCCTGCAGTAGACAGAGCCTTTTTCAAGGTGAGATAATGCAACGCTTTGTCAAAGATAATTCAGATCTGCTCTAAGAGCATTAGGAATAATATAAATATAATTGAATAAAGAGCCGTGCCTGTTGAAAGAAGACATTTGCAACGTGAATCAATTTGGTGCAAAGAACAGACCAGATGTCTTCTGTGCAGTTGGTGAGCAGTTGGGATCCCTACCTGTCAGTGGATTTTAAGGTCTTCTGTAGCTTGTGATTTCCTCCCTGGAAAAGCCAGCTAAGCACAGTGTAAAGCAAGGCTGAGTGCTTATTGGCAGCTGTGTGTGATTGCTGTGTTGTTTCATCAGGTTCTTCTGGCCTGTGCAAGTATTTGTTTGCTTCATTGATGAAGCCGTTTATTCAGGCTGTTTTTATCTCTGCAGTAGCTGGAGTGGCACTTGTGATTTTTCCAGATAATTGCTTAAAGTGTTTGTTTGCAGTTTAATTATTACTCGCGATGCTCGTGTTGTATTTCTTCAGAAACTCAGCCTCAATCTTTTCTTACAAAACTAAAGCTGCTCTGACACTTTGTCCCCAAGCATAACACTTGCAGGCTGCTACCATAACCCTTCAAAATGAAACTCAACCAATCAATCTTTCTAGTTTGCATGCAATTGCCTACAGCTAAAATAAAGCTTCCCCCCGCCCCGTCTCTTACAGTAGAAATGAGTTAATGCATTGGTGATGGAATAACCATCAGCAGTCGGCCTTTAGCTGTTTACTAATGAACTCCCAGATGGATGGAAGGGAAAAAAAATATATCAGGATCCGTGTTTTACTTCAGGCTGTACATGAACTTAACACTTCAGTTGTAGAAAGAAAAGCAACTTAGATGCCATACATATAAGCACTGCTATTTCATATCTCAATAAATTCTAGATGGTGAAAACTGCAGAAAGCTATAGTAAAAAATCCATATTTCAAAAACTAATAGGTGGCCGTGTGAGCTGAAATCAAAGGTTACTTTTGTATGGCCCTCTGATTCTTTTTTCCCATTTAAGGCTCTTTATTTCTTTTTTTCCCCTTATTAAAGCCTTTAAGCATGGTCTTTTATTTAACACTTGTGTAGAGGTTTTCATTCTTGTTTGTTGGAGTTGTTGTAGGGAATTGGTGGGATTGCAAGGGCATTTGACTCTGAAGCAGAAAGAGTTGGCACAGATATAAAACATACATTATCATCATAGTGTTCTGTGGGCAAATTCTCATGGATCACTTTAGCAAGCCCTACAAGTGATGTAGGAGGCTGTACATCATTAGAAGGGATGAGCATGGGAGCAACTGCAGGAGGTGTTGGAATATTTAGGATAAAGACCATGCCTTAGAAAGGAAGCAGAGCTGCAGAGCGTTACAGTGTTGTTCTTCTGTATTTAACAGTTTTCATAGCAGGGCAAGCAGAGAAACAGTGGGGTTGTGAATGGAGTTTTGATCATCAGTCCTAACGATCGAGTGCTGGGCATCCTTGTGCTGTAATTACTGCAGTTGTCTTCTCATCCATTTTCTTTATGGAGTAAATATCCACAGAATGAATCATAGAACTGTAGAATGGCCTGGGTTGCAAAGGACCACGATGTTCATCTACTTCCAACCCCCTGCTGTGTGCAGGGTCACCAGCCAGCAGCCCAGGCTGCCCAGAGCCACATCCAGCCTGGCCTTGAATGCCTGCAGGGATGGGGGAAACATCTGCAGGGCTGCTATCTTCTGCAGGGCAACCTGTGCTCTGCATAGTGGAAGTGTTAAGTGGATGATGATGGCTTTGAGCATCCAATTCTAAGTTGTTGTTTTTTTTCAGATTAACCTGTAAAGAATGGACCTGTTGATGTGAAGGATGCAGCCTGGGTAGCGTGACCCTGTTTCGTTTTAAAGTAACTTTGAAGGATTTTAATGGAGACCAGCTTTAAAAAGAATCTTTGAGAAGCATCTATGTAGTGTTTCATTTTAATAGGAGAATTACTTGCAAAATGATTTGTTTTTTTAATTTTTCTTCAAGCTTAAGAAGATTTGGATGAGTTTTTGAATGCTAGAACTGTCATGCATGCGATTTTCTACCTATAAAGTGATTTTCTTAGGAAAAATATTGTTAGGTACAGAAGGGAGAGATCTTTTTTCCTCTTTGGTTGGCTGCAAATATTTGTTATATCTGAATGTTTGCATTGTGATGGCCAGTGCCTAATGTTCTTCTGAAAAGGTGCTATCAGAGCTATGGCTTCGTGTCCTGAGAAGAAAACAAAGCACATTATACACATGTCACAGGGATAATAAAGTAATATAATGTGCTCATGAATGTAGGGTTTAAAAAGGCCAGAAGGAAGGGAAGGATATACTCTCAAAGCAAAACTATTAAAAACAAAATAATAGCCAAGTTTCTAGTTTAAATTAGTGAAATACAATCAGGTTTGAATCCTGAATCCTGCTTGGTTTGTCAACCTCATTTCCTTTCAGTGTAGGAGATAAGTAACTGGAGGAAGAAACAGCAATTAAAGCACAGGGATAAAATGAAGGCTGCTGAAGGTGCTCTTCTAGTAACTGAGCAGCTTTTCTTTGGGAGCTGAAGGGAGAAGGAGTGGAGGAGGCAGAGTAAGGAAATCTGTTTAGTATTGCTTTGGTTGCATGCTGGAACAACAGGCATGTATACAAAGGCCATCGGGTGGCTCTGCATGTAGTGAAGTTCCTGACTTGGCAAGCTGTCCATGTACTTAGGCTTTGTAATCCCAGTAATGAATATGCTTTTTCCTCTTTTGTAACATCTGAGGTTTTTAATAGAGAATTGTGTATTTTTGTTGAATAAAGTTTAGTGTGGATGTGGGAGTACCGTGCTTAAAATTCTGTATAATTCCTCTTTTTTGCAGGTTTCAGCAAACAGATGGTGGAGATACTGAACAAACATGGTATTTCATTTAGCAGTTTTGATATTTTTTCTGATGAAGAAGTTCGTCAGGGGCTGAAAACATACTCTAATTGGCCAACTTATCCACAGTTGTATGTAGCTGGAGAGCTAATAGGTGGACTTGATATTATCAAGGTTAGAAACTGAGAAATTTCTAGTTCTGGTAATTGTGAGAAGCGTATGGTTTTGGGTTCTTTTGGTTTTACGTCTGGTTTTTCTCCTCCCCTGTCTCCCTAGGAACTTGAGGCTTCTGGAGAACTGGACACAGTCTGTCCCAAGGCACAGAAGTTAGAGGACAGGTATGATGTATTCTGTCATTATTTTCAGGGGGTCAATTTTTGAGGTGTCCTTCTCAGTTTTACAAGTGAACACTCTTATATACATTCTATACAAATTGGTACTTTATTTTATCAGATGATAATCATAGGATCTTAGAATAGTTTGAATTTGGAAGACTGAAGATCATCTTTAAAGGCCATCTAGTTCCAAACTCCTTAATGTGGACAGGAACACCTTCCATGAGATCAAACTGCTCAAGAACCCCAAGTTTTCTTCTAATGAGAGCACTACTGTCTTCAAGTTGTTTAGTATGTTCTATTTTCTGTGTAGTAAGCATCATTTCTATATGAAAGTATGAAGCTGTGCTGCTCTTTGCTTGCAGTTATATTTGTACTGTTTTATGATAGCAGGCGATGATGTAAGAATTTATGAAGATAACTACAGAAATCCTCTGAGCACACTAATAACTGAAGCTATCTTTGTTTGGCATAACATCATGATGTTAATGTAAGGAAAAAAACTCAGGTTTCTCTCCTCGTTTTTCTTGACTGCTCATGTCCTTCAGTTCATGTTTTCTCTCACCTTGGCCACATGAACATATGCTACATCAGTAGGAAATGCAGCATCCTGAATCACATGTAATATCTGGAAACCAATCTGTCCTCCTTTAACCTTCCCATTTGAAGGTTTGTACCTGTTTGAAATTCTGACATGCCCCAGGCAGTGCAGCTCCAGACATCCGAGGGGTCCTTGTGTTGGATGCTAGCATGTGTGGCTTTTTTTTTCCAGTTTGTGTGGATAGTACTGTTAAGACATGCAAACTGAGGGTGATTTACCAGGAGGGCAGCCTGTGCCTTGAAGGCAAATGTGTAAGCATAGATTTCCCACTTGTTGTCTGAAGATGATAAGAAATAAGAGCGAGCTTTGCAAACCACCAGATAAGACTGCTGCTGCTCCTCTCCCCTTCTCATCCCACCAGAGAGCAAACTTAATGCAACCCATTTTGTTGCATGAATAAGGTGCACTTGGACAGTTGTATACTTTTGAATTCCCTTTTCAATTGAAATGTGGTAGAGGTTCAGTATTGTTGCTCTAGTAGGGTAATTTGTAAATTGCCTCACCGACACCACAAAAAACTTAACTTGAGACTAAATTATGACTAGAAGTTACACTGCTTCAGTGTTGTCTTTAAAAATTGATTCTAGGAAACTTCCTCTGGTCTCTTAATTCTTTCTGCAAGCTTGGATAGCTTGCAGCTTCATCAAATTCATACCTGACTTTTGCTTTGCTCAGTCTTGAGGCAGATAAGCTGATTTGCAGTGACCTGCACTTATCTAATGTGTTTTAATGCATCAGTGTCACTGGTGTGGCAAATATCTCTATAAAGGAGCAGCATCAGCTTTTGAACAGCTGTGTGAAGCTGTTCTCAGTTTTATCAAATGTTGATGTAGAAATGACCTGAAGGCAACCTGGCTAAAAAAGTACCACGTGAGTTGCATCTGATCCTCATTGCCTGGTTTGCTCTTCATCATTTAGTAGGTGTTTGTTTTTTAGCAGTGTCATGCAGTGTTTTTCTGAGCTGTGTTTTTGTGTGATGGCTGGGAAGTTCAGTACTGTGACATGCATTTATTACTCTTTGTAGCAAACCTCACAGTTTTGGGACACTTTACATCTCTTTCAGACTACATTCATGCTATCAGTCGCTCATAAAAAAAACCCTGTGAGCTACCTGGTCAAACACTAAGACTTAATAAAACGAAGGCAATTGGTAGTAAAATCTGTTTAATACTCAATTATATTCCTTTACTCAGTGCTTGATCTCTTCCCATTGCTGAACTGCATCTTCTTTTGAAATCAGCCTGGAAAATGGGCTCTGGAAATTACTGCTTTCTCTGAGCAGATCTGTTGCTAGGGGAAGTTGCTCTAGCAGTTAATGTCCCTGTTGTTCCTTATGCTGGAGGCCATTTGGATGGCAAAGTTGTTGATTTTAGCTTTGTATGCAAACATGCAATTTGTTGGTTTTTTTTTTTATTATTATTTCAGGGAGATCCTGGATTCTGTGGTCTGGGATCATTTTGCATGAGCAGTGCAAAGTGATATTTTAGAGAAAATAACCACCTGCCACGTGTGCTATAGAGGGTAATATCCTGTTAGCAGGAAGCAGCAGGACAGGAGGCTTAGCTAGCTCTTCCCATCAACTGTCACAGAGCACAGTTCATACAAGGAGAAGGAAAGACTTGAGGCTGTCTAATGTGGGTGAACCAGAAGCAGCCAGGGCACTGTGGGGCAAAATGGACCCATCCCTGAATTTCAGTGGTGGTTTGTCTTTGGGGATTGCGTGGCTTACAGACACTGTGTGTGGCTCTTACTCTACAGAACTGTCTTACGTGGAGAGTAAGAAGCATTATATTGCATTCAGTGTGTGCAAGTCAATAGATTACAAAAGGAAGGTACTGTGTTAGGAGTATCCTGTGTTTTTCCTAATTTTGTTACTTAATACCTAAAGAGCAACCTAGAAATGTAAATTGTTGCCTAAAAGTAACGAGATTGTTCAGTCTTATTGACTAAAGTTCTGTAAACAATATAAATGGAAGTGCTCAGAGCACTGCTTCAAATGCATTTGATAAAGCTATAAGTTGCAATCTTTCCACCTGGATAATAACTGAGCTGTTTTGTCTTCCTGTTCCCTCCTTCCTATAGGCTTAAAAGCTTGATAAACAAAGCTCCTGTAATGCTTTTTATGAAGGGAAACAAACAGGTAAGATTACAAAAGTATTTTGCAACACTTAAGCAGCTTCTTTCCCTTGTTCCTTTGCTTAATAAAAATCAGTGGTTCTGGGAAGTTATTTGTCCTCTTTTTATTTGGTGCTTCTGTATGAAAGAACAGTCAGATTTTTATCAGATTGAAATATTTATTGCTGAAATGCTGGTTGCATTTATACAGACCAGGCATGAAATTCCCTGACTATAGTGACATCTGTCAATTGATCTGCAACACAGGAACGAATGGAAGAAGTGTGTGTGTCATTTTGGTCTGGGCTTATTGACTGTGTTCACAGCTAATGGGTTTTCTTCTGCTGTTCAGAATGCTGTGGCTGGTATCTGTCCTAGTTGGAGCATACACTTCTACTGTTACTTGACACTTCAGCTTTGAGTACATGTTCTTAGGAGTTTCCCTCTCTTCACCTGTTGCATTGGATTCCCTATCCTTTTCAATTTCTCTGATTTTTATGATGCATTTGAAACAACTGCATTTGGAGGAGGAAAAAAAAAAGCTGCCAGGTGTTTTTTTTGAGACTAAAATATAGTGCCATATACTATAAAAAATCACTCCTGACACATGGAATGATGTATGCCTGGTGACTTTGAGCTGAGATTAATTACCTTTCTCAATGGAAATAAAAGTAGTGATCAAAGAGAGAACTGTGAACAATTAGGTGTAAAGTAGTAGCAAATAACTGTCAACTAAAAGTTCAGTCTGTTTCTTTGTGTTGCATCCTCAAAATAACTGTGGGATAAATTGTTCCCTATTGAACAGGAAGATGCTGCAGTTCTTCCTGTCAAAATGACTTACTGGCACCTAGCTTAAACTCTTCATTGGAGTATTGGGATGTACTCTCTGTACTGTAGGCAATAATTATAGTTGCTGGTTGTATACAGGTGTTTTATTTAGAAGTGATAAAGGTGGGGGACTGATTTTATTCATGTGATTTCTTTCCATTTTATTTTCACATTTGCTCCCTAAACCTCCTAGATCTATAGAGAAAATATACTTGTGAGAGAGTTTGTCTAAGCAGTTTCATAGCCACTGGAACCCTGGAGGCTGTGCTGACTCACTGAAGCAGTGATGGTGATGCCATCCAGAGAAACTTAGGACTCCTTTGGGTCCAGGAGAATCTCATGAGGTTCAGCAGAGCCAAGTGCAGGATCTTGCACGTGGGTCACAGCGATCCCACTATCAATAGAAGCTGGACAATGTAAGGATAGAGCACAGCCCTGCCAAAAAGGACCTGGGGGTGCTGTTGGATGGTGTCTGAGCCAGCAGTGTGTCCTCACAGCCCTGAAGCCAACTGTAACCTGGGCTGCACATGAAGAAGCATGGCCAGCAGGTCAGCCTGGATGGCACTAATCTAAGGGATCAGTACTGCTTATTCAGTAAGGTCTCATTAGCAACAAATTTATAGCAGTTACAGTGTAACTTGAGCTGGAATTTGGAGGATCAAACATAGCAGAAATGTTTTAATGGTTTTTTTTGGGTTTTTTTTTGTCTTCTAGTCTGCAAAATGTGGATTCAGCAAGCAAATTATAGAAATCATAAACAATACTGGGTAAGTTCTGATTTAATTTACCCCTTCTGTTTTAAGGGGAAAAACAGTAGTGGAAAACTTCCCAGGATGTTGCTGTTTTGTTCAGAAGTATCTAAGTATCCCTGTGTAGAACCCACAGCATGAATCCCTACTTACTTTCATTTGACACAGTGTCAGTTGTGGATATTACACTGCTTCAGCACTGCTTCACAGTGATTGTCTTGTTCTGATTAAACAGGTTATTGCAACAGTGGATAATTTTATTTTTTTTGCTGTTGACATTAAAGAAATCCTTCCATCCTGATAAGCAGCTCCTATTAGAAGTCCCTCATGATCAGTTTTCTTAATCTTGGAGCTTCTCACATGGTCTCAATTTTCTTCTTCGAAGCAGTTCCTTCTGTAGTGAGAGATGAGTATGATCTTTCTTTGCATAAACTCATCTTTTGGGTGCACTGCTAGTTTGAGGTTAAACAGTTGTCTTGATAACTAGATCTTAGGATGAGGTTTTTCTTTTTAGATAACTAGAAAACTGTATATATCAATGCACAGCATGGAAATAAGTTGTTATTCACAGAATCACACAGAACATGCTAGAAACTGCTATTCCTTGTCATTGACCCTATCCTCTGGCAGGAAGCTGCATGCTTCCCAGTTATTGAAGAATGACACCTCGGAGTACAAAGCAGCCAGAACTCAGATTTACACTGACTTTCTGTGCAAGTAATACATGAAGTAAACTGTAGCTGGATGACTCCTCAGTGAAAACTTGCAAAGCATGGAAGTTTTTTGAAGCTAATACTGAACAGAATTGCTTTGATCAGTTAGAGCATCGACCACACAGCTTAATTCTGTGCACTGAGAAGCTGGCCATGGAACTAGGCTTGATGTTAGTTCTTCATGCCTAAGGAGCTGACTTTCTTCCCTCCTTTTACCATCTTTTTTTTTTCCTCTCTCTTTCTAGTGTTGATTATGAGACATTTGACATACTGGAGGACGAAGAGGTAATCAAGTATTTCCATCACTGTGGAATTCACTGCTACTTTCACTGAAGTTGAAGCTCACACTTACAGTTGTTTTCCTTAGGTGCGGCAAGGACTGAAAACCTATTCAAACTGGCCAACATATCCTCAGCTGTACGTGAAAGGTGAACTCGTTGGAGGGTTGGATATCGTTAAGGTAAGAATGGGAGAACCTTGAAATGTAAATTCACCACTTGTTTAACACTGTAAAAATGTTTTCTGCCCATAACGTACAGAAGTTCCTGGTAGTGGCCCATGATCTTGGAACTGAATGCCTTGGTTGCTTTTACTGTGCCTCCCATTAGCTCAAGGAGCTCTAAATCTCTAGCATTCTCATATGCCAAGATTTAGCAGTGAAATGTATTTTCTTGACAGCAGTCAATTACTGTTACTGTAAAGACCATTTTTACCCTGTAGGTGTATTTTTACAGGGTTCTCTTCTTTGTTTTACTTCTGACATTGCTTTCCTCAAATAAGGTGGGTGAGACATTTTTTCCCGAGCAAACAGTCTCATTCCTAGGAAAAAGCAAAGTTTATTGTAGCTGTTTGAACAGAGCCTGAAGCAACAAAAATAGATCTGCATCTGTTACTGTGGTTTTTGATTTCTGTAACAGCAGCCACAGTGTTCTAAACCCCAAATACTCCTGAGCCCATTCTTGTCTGAATGTTTTATAGCCAATTCCTCAGACGCTGCAACTCTTGGGAAGATGCAATCAATAAATCTCATTTAGTTCTAAAAATACTGGTATTACTTAAATTATATAGATTACTTTAATTTTATTTATTTAACAAGTGTGTGGGTGACTTCGGTGATCAGTAAGTATAGTCTTGGGCATTGCAGAGATGCTGCAGAAGTCTCATCTCACTGGCATTTGAATTTAAGTTGTCTGTTTGCATTGCTGGTTCACAGTAAATTGTATGGGTAGATGAATGTTGTCAGCCCTTTAAAATGCATTCTATTATGTAGCATAATATGGAATAAAGCTGAGATAGAACTGTTTCTCTTGAGATTTGGGAGAAGAATATATACTCCACAGTATGTGTTACTTTAAAGCCATCTCATGGTTTTTTTTTCTGATAAGTTAGCCTTAGAACTTGAGTTAAACCACACAGATAATATGGGCAAGTACCTCTCAGGTATGGCTCACAGATTTCTCTGTCTTGTTAGTCACTGGCACACACTGTAACAAGGTCTGTCAGTGCATGGTGGTTGTTTTTTCACTTTGTGGGAAGAGTTTGGGTGTAAAATTCTGTGTATGCTCACATCTATCTAGGAGGGCACATGCCAGAGGATTTACCTGGTAAAGTTGATAGTCAATTATTTTGAGGACTTATCTTCTCCCTAAGGAAGTTTCCTCTTTGAGTTGGAAGGTACAAAATAGAACTTAAAGGCAACGTTACGAAGAACCTTGGTCTAGAGGGACCTCTAGTGGGTCATCTGCTTCATCCCCCTAATGCTCACTGAACTGAGCTGTAAACTGCTCCTACTGAAATGGTGTGAATGTGACACAAGGTGCATGTAGTGACTAATTGTTGGGTCTGTGTCTTCACAGGAACTAAAAGAAAGCGGCGAGTTGTTGCCTATTCTGAAGGGAGAAAATTAATGTCCAAGGTCAGCAGTGGGAACTGAAGTTCTTTGAACAATTACTCATTGGTAGATTATGCTGGAGCAATATAATGTGACTTAACCCTGTGGAACCAATCAGAAGTAAATAAAGGCTTCTTATGTACTCTGTCACAAGACCCTGCTGCATCTGAAAGTGTGTTTCCAATGAAGATAGAAACGTGTCAAGATCTTCAAATTCAATTAAAACATAATGCTAGAGGAGTTTGGGATGTTTCTTACACTTCCTAATGTATTCATTGCATCTAGATGTTTAAGAATCAAGTAATGACAGCGCTGTCTGTTGTACTTTATATAGGGCTAAATTGATCTATCATTAGCAAAATATTAATGGGAATGCCTCTGGTATGGAACTTAATAACTTTCTGTCCCTGCTAATAATTGTTTTCATGTCTAGTGAGTGAGAAAAATGCTGTTGAAGCTTTAATCCAGTGCATCATTAGGAAGTTGTTATTAATGGGTTTCAGCTGCGTACATGCATCTTCATTATCTGAGCAGGTACAGGGGCTGTTAATCGCAGATACTAGACCAATTTGAGCATAGCTTTTGGACATGATTAAATTTCAGTGGAAGTGAGCCAATAAACCCATGGTTAGGCCAGTCTTCTGGTGTATTGTCACTGTTACAGCTGTTCAGAGGCCTGCTTTCTGGGCTACAACTGCTGCAGTTGAATTGATTGTGTTAGCACGTAAATCCTTTGGTATTCAGAGGTTTAGATTTGTTGTTAATCTTTCTTTCAGTATCTGTAACAAATACAAAGAGCTCATACGGCGCGTTGACCTTCACCAGCTACAGCACGAGTGTGCTTTCAAGTCTGCCTATGGAAAAACAAAGCACAGCAGCACCGAAAATCAAAATACAACATTCCTCGTTGCGCTGCTGATGGAGGGTATTTCTCTTCCAGGGAAACACCTTGTGCTTGCATTCTGAGATCCTCGCCCCTGTACTGAGGCTATTGAGCTGTTTGTTTCAAAGGATGGTTTTGTCTGTGAAATAATGATAAGTTTCTAGTTAGCTACATGCAGACTGCTCTGTGTGACAGCAATAGCAGCTGCTGCCGACTTCTAGCTGTGAAATATTGAAGTGAGCTGTTCTGAGTGCGTTGGCTGTGCACAGTAAAGACAAGGAAACTGAGAGCTCTGGAATGTGAAGAAGAGCAAGCTAAGCTCTGATTATAAAACCCAGCAGTGAAATACTGGTGAGCAGGGGTGTGCCTGAACCTCCTCAGGTGTGAGCTTTGAGTGGTGAGGCATTGCTAGGAGCCTGTTCCTCACTGTTTTTTGTGCTGGCTGTGCTTGCTGAGAAACACCTGTATACTTGGTGCTTGTGGCCAACTAAAGCAAGACTCAATCCAAAATGCTGATCCTTCTGTAGTAAAAACAACGACCAACTAAACCCTTTCCCTTCCAGATTAGTCCTAGTGCAGTCTAACTGCTGAAGGTTCGCAGTGTCTTCACAGGTTAATATGAGTGTGAAGGACCACCCGTGGTTTTTCTGTATGTTTTTGTATTCCATGTGCTCCTGTACTGCACTTTGTTTACCCTAACTGTCTATTCTTGAAGTGAAACTGCTGTGCTGCTTCAGAGACCTGGGGTTAACATTTCATGTGCAGCAACTGCTAGGTTCTCACAGTGCTAAATTGTGAGCCTGAACTTTGGTAGCTAGCAGTATTTTGAGTAGATGGTGTTGTTTGTGACGAGGACTACTTGCATTTTAACTTGGCAAAAGTTAAATGATCACTTTGGTGTTTTTTAGGACTGAATTTTACCCTGTGCCATCTGAATGCTTTTGAAAGCAGCTGTGTTTCTGCACAGGACTTTGTGGTGTTGACCTACTGTGCGAGTTAAGAATTGATAGCAAGTACATCTGTGGGCCCTGCTGTCCCACAGCTGCAATTCTGATTGGGTTTGCTTGGAGGAGGAGCTGCAGTGCTGCTGGTGCCTGCGGTGTGTGGGCACAGGCTGCCTCTCGGTGGTGGGAAGGAGCTCACTGCAGGATGCTGACTGCAGGGCACAGCTGCCTGTGCTCCCTCCTGGCTCAGGGGAGCATGAGAAATCCTGATGCTGGAGAACAACTCCAGCCGTGTGGTCAAAGCCTTGATTTCTGTGCTGCTGGGGAGCGTGGCTCATGCCCTGCTGCTGCCTTGCAGGGCCAACGGGTGGCTGATCCAACCCAAGTCCATCTGTGATTTTAAATGACACAGTAGTGAAGCGTTAGTGAAAAGTGTCAGTGGATGGAGCGTGGAGCAGGACTTGTCTTGCTTTGAGTGTCCAACATGAGAATCCTGCAGCAACAGTTAACTGCTGTGTTCTGTTAACTACATAGAACAAGTTCACCCAACCGGGTAACTGGTTAGGAAATAATTCAGAAGGACCTTGAAATACTGATTTTTAGAGGTGCCACATAGCTGAGACGGTCCAATGCTGTTTCTAAATTAAACGTGAAGTTGGAAATATACAAGCATTACTTAAAAACCTTCAGACAATCCAAGGGGAAATTTGATGCACTTAATGGTTTTAATCTGGGGAGTATTAAGTGATCAGGAAGTATCTCACTTTGTAGTGCTAAAGCAGAAGTTGAGGAGACCAGGGATGTTCTTTAAGCTTTAAGTTCCATCCCCTGGTTTGGGCTGTGTGCGGGCTGCTGTGCTTCTCTTGGTTGTAGCTGCTCCTCCTTTGGGTGCACAGAGTTTTAGAAGGCCCAACAGAGCTGCCTTTGGTGCTGCTGAGGATATGAGAGCCACCCCTGGGCAGCTGTGCCAACTCCTGGCCGCTCTCTGAAGAACAAATTGCTCTGAGAGCCAACCTGACGACAGAATTAAAACCCTGAGTAAGGCAGGTGGGATGGGCTGACGAGCCCTGTCCCTACAAGGGCTCTTTGAGCAGCCCACGGTCAGGTTGGCTCCCAAGCTGGGGATTTTAGCACTCGATGCTCCCATCAGTGCTGCTGCTGAGAGGTGAGCAGAGGGAGCAGGACGTGGTCACGGTCCATCAGAGCAGGTAAGTGGGTTGTTGTGCTTTGTGCCCTTTGGCTCTTTCGAAATGCCTCTCCCTCTGAGCCGTTTCCCATCTTATTTCCTATCTTAAATTGAGATCTGCTTTTGCTCCGATCATCCTTTTAAAGGAACTGAAGGGATGGCAAAGGATGGATTGCAGTCTCGGCCTTTGCAGTCTGTAAAGGCTTCTTGTAAAAGCGTGACAAGCCGGTGCAGCCTGAGTGCATGTGGTGAAAGGCTGTGGGCTGCTTGTTTTCGTGCTTGGGGTCTCCTGCATGAAGGAACGTGTGTTTCTTGAGACCACTTCTCCAAAAAGCCACTGCCTTTTGCCTCTTCACTGCACCTCCGCAGCTCTTTATAGGTTCAGGCTGAGTGCTGGGGCTGTGCGGCTGGGGAAGGGGACAGGAGGCACTGCATGGGCTGCCCGGCGAGGTGGGGGTGGTCCCTGCAGACAGCCCAGGGCTGGGGGTGGGCTCTGAGCACTGATGGAGCTGTGGGTGTCCCTGTGCGTTGCAGGGGTGCCACCGGGCGGCTTTTAGAGGTCCCTTCCTACTCAAACCCTTCTGTGGTTCGATGAAACGGCAAAACTGCGGGGCGAGCGAGACAGCTGGGGGGCCGCGCCTGTAGGCCTGCACTGCGGCGGCCGTCCGCCAGAGGGCGCAGCTGCGCCGTGTTTCTGCGGTTCCTTTTTAACGGGGCTCCCATGGGTCCGCGAAGGGGAATTCGGATTTTTTCGGCTTTTTTTTCTTTTTTTAAACTTGCCCATTGAGTAATAAGAACCCTCTGTGGTTACTGCGGTTGGGACCGTGGGATCCCAACCCTCACAGCCCCTCCTCCTGTGATCTGGGTACTCCCTCACCCCCCCCAGCTCAGGCTCCCATAGCCCAGCTGTGTCCATGGGCACCTCCAGGATGGGGCAGCACAGCTCTGGGTGATGCCAGGGCTGCACTGCCTCTGGGTGAATGATTTCCTCCTGACACCCAACCTGCATCTCCCCTCCGTTAGTTTAAAGCCATTCTTCCTGTGCCTGTTGCTGTCAGATGACTGTTGCTCATCCCCTCCCTGCATCCCCCTACTGCATCCCCCTTGGATGCCCCGTCCATCCCTGGAGGTGTTCAAGGCCAGGTTGGATGGGACCCTGGGCAGCCTGGGCTGCTATGAAATGTGGAGGTTGGTGACCCTGTGTGTGGTGGGGGGGTTGGAGATTCATGATCCTTGAGGTCTCTTCCAACCTGGGCCATTCTGTGTGCAGGGGGAGCTGAACCAGGGGCAGCTGCAGGGCTGGGGGAGATAGGAGGGAAATGGAGGGAGGGGTTGGGAGTGGGGTCCTCTGTTGAGCCCCCGAGTGGGGTTCCCTGCATCCCCAGCACAGCTTGGATGAGAGTTAATGGTGCTATGTGGGAGCAGGAGTGGCAGGGTCTGATCTGCAGCAGTTTGGTTGGTAAACTGATTCTTCCCTTTCTTTCAGATTTATTTATTTGTTACTGAACCTTCATTCATTAGGAAATGCTGTGTTGTATTTTAATGATGTGACATCCAGGTTCAAGGTACAGAATCCAATGCTTGCCATCTCTGGGTGGGGATGTGACCCCCAACACACTGCAAGCACTGAGCGAAGTGGGGGAGAGGAGGGGAGGGGGAAGGAAGGACTCAGTCTCTGGCATCGCTGTGCTTCCCCAACCTGCTGCTCCTGGCACTGCTCCCACCTGGGAAAGAGCTGAGGTTTGCTCAGCTGTTGTGTTACCCAGAGTGATAGTTTCTGCTTGTGCACAGCAGGGGCCTAAGCAGCTCCGTGTAGTGAAGTCCACTCCATAGCAAGTATGTAAAAGTGCAGGCAGAAAGCTCCGTTACTTTGCTTGGACAGCCTGCACACCTACAGCAGTTGCTATCACCAGTTTCTTGTCCCCTCTTTCCTTCCCGTCCTTTCCTCATCCCTGCTTTCTCCTTTCCCCCCGCGCACCACCAGGCGGAGCCATCCGCGCACCGGAGGAGCTGCTGGAGCTGCGCTCTGCGAGACGCATTAATGCGAGCGCTGCCGGCATCGAGGGCATCGTTTAATGAGAAAACACTGGGAAGTTCCTCTGTACGGCGAATGAAAGCCAAAACGATGCGGTGTTCCCTTTGCGTGAAGGATGCACCGCAGAGATAGGATGGCTGTGGTCAGCAAGGCTGTGCGCAGCTCGGGTTCAGGAGGGCCGTGTTGGGCACT